ATAAACACACCTGGAAAAGATTCGACTCGTAAGAGCTTTTGAAAATTTATCTATTGATTCTGTCTTGATTGTGAAGTCAATCTGGTGAAAGAGCGTGTTATATGGCAAACATAAAATCCTTCCTTCCTCTCAGTAAAGGACACAGAATAAATAACATGGCTCAGAATTGGTTCTCAGCAGTTCAAAAGTGCCTACTGTTTTCTTGCGACTCTGGCAATTGCTTTCCAAATAAATATTTGCAATACAAGAGAATACAAACTAATTTACCATTTCTGAATTGAATAAGGTTAGCTGTTCTACTGAAACAAACCAATGTTTATTAACAGAGCTCGACTGCTATGCACTCTACAAAGACTAGAAAGTATGAGTTGTGATACCAATGATTACCTGAATGTATGCGGGTACTTAGCGCAAGTGCTGAGTGACTGGTGGAAAACTTGATTTGCTAAGCAAATGGCTTGAGAAAATTAAACAACTGGGTAACTCAGTGATCAATCTCTCTTTTATTGTCTTTTGTTACATTTCCATCCATCTATTTTAATAACTTCTTTTTTTTCCTTTCAGCACTTCCAGATAATTTTCCACAATTTACGATCTATCTCTAAACTATTTGACAATAGTTCTGTAATTCCAACCAGATTTGAATACAGGACTGGGGCCATCACTTAGAGGAAATCCACATCATTTATTGGTAGTGCCTAAAGGGTCAAGGTCTATTTGTCTCTCTTAATGTTTTTTGAAGACTTCATTCTGTAGTACTGACAAAATTAAAGACTCACTAGAATTTTGGGGGCCATTTATTTGTTGTTCATGCAGGTATGCAAAAATGCAAGTAAAAATTGTGACATTGGAAAGATCTTTTGCAATTTTGACCACAATTATGGAGGAATTTTACTTTTAAAAGGTCATCAAGAAATTGTCCCTCTTCCTTCTGAAATAAACTTCCTTTCACTAAATCAAATAATTCTGATTTTCGAAGACTAGCCAAAGCCAAGTTTGATTTTATAACCCACAATACTCTCCAAATAGCAAATCACCCTCCCTTTTTTTATAAAGGTTGCCAGTTTTCTTTTATAGCTTTGTACTCAAGAGGTGGTTGTAAATTTGAATTCCAAGCCATTTGCTCCAACCATTTTTTTCAACATTAACAAAAGAATAGCGAGAAGAGAACCAAAATAACAGAAACAAACACAGCAAGCAATGCAAAGTAAAAAAAGACTCTAATGAAAGCAGTAACTTACTGTAGCTACTTTCACTATCGCTGGCATTAGAAGAAACATGTTCTGCAAGAACAGTACAGCAAATTAAAGAACATAACCAAGCACCACAGAGCCGCAGAAACTCAAAAGAACTGCCGCAGCCATGCAAAGGTAGTTGTGCAGAGAGGAAATAAAAACTATACAGTGACATCACCTGAAGGTCTTAGATAATTTACATGGTTAAAATGAAAGCTTTCTCTCTTGAGGTATTTCAGAAAGAGACTATACACATCTAGTGATATACAATATAGAAAAGCCATTGATATGCATTATAGCAAAGCCATGTCATTTCTTGATAAGATAGTTAATGACATCTCAGATAAATTAATTTCAAAATACCGTTTGGTCCACTCGCATCTCAGTGAATGACTAATTTTGTGAATGAGTTTCTGCTCATGTTCTTCTAAACTTAGTTTTGTCCTCAGCATTAATCACTTTCTACTATCCAATGGGGTTAACAAATTAATGTGAAAAGGGTTTCAATATCAACTATTGCAAAAGATTTAAAAAAAACCAAAAAACAAAAAAACCCCAAAAAACAACAAAGCCAATGTCAACGTTAAAATAAATAAATAAATAAATAAATAGAGGAAATGTTTTTCCAGACAAGATCTAGCTTCAGGATTTGAGCTAGAGTACAAAAATCTTTTTCAGACTTGTCTGGATATGTGATCAGGGATGGAAGAATTATCATGGAATAGACTTCTGGTTTGACAAGTTTGGTGTCAGAAAGGTGTGGCCTATATCACGTGAAGTGATTGTTTCCAATCAGGAAGGCTGAGTGACATCAGTCAGACCATGCTTAGTGGTCTCTAAGAGGACTGCAGAACCACATTTAATGGCTGTTTTAATAGCATCTCTGGTAGAAATGCTGATAACTTTCCAGGTAGAAGTTCATTTGACACACACTTGAAATTTTTCACCTGGACCAGAGCATTTAAAAATAAATGTTACAATGGTTATATAGTGAGAAGCAACCCTGGGTTAATTGGAATGAGATGTGGGCTGTTGAATGGACAATGAGCACAAATAACTCACTTCCAGACAGTCATCAGCAGCCAAAACGTATCTAACTGTCATTAATCCACAGATTAGGATGTTGGTGACTTGAAACCAACACTTGAAACTGCAACTGCCTCATGTTCCCAGTTAAAGAAGAAAACACATAAAAGTCAAGAATCCACTGAGATGAACTCAGAGTAGGCCACAAGGAGGATGAGTATGGGAACTGTGTCAAGGCCACCTCTTCTCTGTGAGGTGCTGCATTCCCCCACATGCACACCTAATGACTGCTGTTCATCAAGCAGTAACAGAAGGGCTGGTGGAGCAGCAGGAATGGGAGAGGCTGATATCTGATACAAGTAATAATTGACAAACTTTGGTCTTGGACTTATTAACAAGCTTCAAAATATTAGACTCATGTTTTGAACAAAACTGTGTGGAGTCTTGGACATTTCACAGAAAGTTAACAACTGCTGCCTCCAACCATGATGTTATTCAAGGCCTTGAAGGTTTTGTTAAACAAGAACAAATATCCTCCTTAGTAACTATTAAAGTAAGAATTATATCTTAGTTTAATATTAGTGAAATTTGAACAGGGCTGAAATGCCTAGAAGTGTGTCAGTAATTAAAAGCTAGGTGTAACATTAATAGAGAAACTAGAGCCTGAACAATATCTTTGTGCCACTTTTCTCCTAGCAGTTTGCAGGTTTAGTTATCTCCTTCTGGATGATTGAATGTTACAGAGATTTGTCTTTTTAAGGACACAGATATGCAGGAGGGTTTATCAAATCAGATGTATTTACATTTTTTTTAAGCAGTGGAGGATGTGCATTTGTTCCTAGTGCACATCTATAGCACTTTACTTGAAGTAACAAAATGATTAAAATTCAGGTGGCAACGATACTGAAAATTGGTCTTCTAGAACTGTTCTTCATACAAGAGATGAAGCTTTCATCTTTAAATGGCAAAGTACTGTATGGATTAAAATAAAACCATTAAAATGACCCTTAAAAAAAAAATCAGAAATCTGTAAAATTGCACATTCCTGTAATTAAAAAGCATATACAAAACAGTAGGTGATGCAGTGTCAACATCCACATACATTTTACTTCAATCACTTGGCACTAAAGAAGAAGAACTGAAGGAAGAAGCAGCCAAACACATGCAAGTGCCATTTTGCTCGAATTATTTAGGTCTGGATACAGCATATAACATAGCCATTTCTATAGAGTAATTTATTCTGTACAATTTTTCTGGTCTGACTTTCAAGGAAGCAAAATTGTTCCCAAATGATTATCTGACACATGACACATTCTGCAATGCTAAGTTGTGAGACAGGATTACTGCGTCAGAAAAAGAAATTGATTAAGGTTTCATGACGGGGAATAGGTTGGTAATGGTGAAATGGGTCCAAATTCAGTTTGGGAGAAGGTGTGTCTTCTCTAGCCTGGAAATGACTTCTTCCATTAATAACAAACGCTAATCCAAAATCCAGCAAAGTAACGAACACTCCCATGCAAAAAGCTGAAAATGCAGAAGCAACAGCAGAAAAAAATTTTCTATTGATTTCCTCAGGATGTGATCAAGTTGAAATGTTTATTTCCCTTTTGATGGAGAGGGAGGGATTGTTGCTGAGAAGTACATTCTAGCAGCAAAACAAGTTCTGGGTATGCTACTCTACGGAACTGCCATGATGAGAACAATAACATACTGTCAGAAACAAAAGGTGTTATTACAAAAGAAGTGAAAGTGTCTGCTTGATACACTGTATGTTATTTAATATTGTCATGCAGAACAAAACAATTGAAACATTTTTAATGCATTCACAGCTGGGTAACAAATAAAACTCTATCTTGTGCATGCTAGGAGTGGAGGGTCCTCAGAGAAGGAACAGAAGCCAAAACAAAACAAAACAAAAAAAAGATTTACAGTGACCATTCCTGGGAACTTACTCAGAGTCTTTGTTCCATAACCGTCGTCACCTAATCCGGGGATGTCCTGCACGGAAGTCCCCAGAGAGAGCAATGAGAAAGGAAGAACAGCCGCAGAAGAGGAAGGAAGAAGTCAGTGGAGTTGAAATGGATACTACCATGACTGACCATGTTGATTGAGCAATCTGGATCCCTGCTTTTTCTCTCTTTAAACCCATATTCTATGGGAACGCAGCCAATGAAAGAGGCAGTGACCATTCGACATGGCTTTGTAGTTGTGACAAAGAAGGAACAATACAATAAATAAAGTCCCAGAAACGGTCCTCACCACATAAATTCGGAAGGAGAGAATTACTAAGGAAAAATGTGAGCTCTTTGGGCTCAGAGCCAGCATTTTGTTTGTCATTATGCTGGTTGTTCACATACAGTTTTAGCAAGCAGTAGGTGCCTGGAGAGGTACACATCCCAAGATCTGAGTTGCTTATTTAAGTTCTTAGTGTGGATGCTTCATTTAACTGTCGAACTTTCAGTGAAGCTGTCCATGACAATCAACTTGGAGAATGTCAGAGGCAAAGGAAAAAAGTAGATCAGAGCAGAGCTTTAAAAAAAAATTAGTTTGGTATTCGAAAGAAATCATGTTTGCATAATTTTGAGCCAGTTTTGATCTGGGAATATTTAACTAGAGCCAAATTTGGGTTTAGGCCAGGTGCCACAATGATACTGAGGAGCCACATGTTTTTTTTTTTTTTTTTTTTTTTAAGAAAGTGAAGAAATGCTTTTCCAAAAGTTAAGGTCACTGTTTCATTCTTCAGAAAATGATATTTCCAAGGAAGGAAGGACCAGCTGGATCCAAATTGCAGTCACACATTGGTCACAGTAGTAATACCTCGCCTGCCTGCCTACAACATGTATTTGCCTAGATGTGTGGGATACTGATATCATGCGTGTCACCCATTTTTTGTGCTGCATGTGGCATCGTCTCCGAGAGGTTACTTACGTTCTGGATCACTTGTTTCCTGCTCACTCTGCTCCTTGCTCTTGTAGAATGGGAATTTTCGTGAAAAGATGAAGTTCTTTTTACGCTTGTCATTGAATGACTGTGAAGGAGAAAAGGCATGGGGCAAAAACAGGGACGTCTAATTGTTGTCACACTCATGCTGACAAAACAACTAGTTTGTAAAAGTGGAGAGAACTGCAGTGACTCAAATCAGTCCAAAGCAAGTGGCTGGGAGGACTCACAGGTGGTTGTGGTGATGTGTACAAGCTGAAGGCAGAACCCCTGGAGACTGGATCAATTTAATAATAGAAGTCTCAAACTACAAACTTCAGCTCCTTATTTGGGGACTACTGTGTTTGGCTTGCTCAGATAAAGGGCCACAGATGGCTCAGCATGCTTTGAGATCAAGCCACTCATCTTTAATGATAGCAGACTGTGCACAAAAATAATTAACTGTCTGAAAAAGAAAAGGCTGCAAAGAGGAAAGAGGAAGCCTTTGATTTTCTTCTGGTAGGTGTGTAGATTCAGCTCTGTGCCAATTCAAATTATATATGTTTTTTCTGGTAACTGTTGCTGACTTCAGAGTGCTTTACTTGTCCAGTTAACTGGCAATTTCTTACATATGTTTTAATGTCTTTTTTTGTGTCAATTAAGAAAATTCACTTCACTTTGTGTTATATGTCTATATTAATTTAGAGGGTTCCTCTGGATATGCTTTTAGTTTTACATGATTTAGAGATGAGATTTTGCTGAGAAGCAGAATTTCACCGCATGTTGAACAATATGTACCTTCAAACGGGGAACAAATATGGAATTTATTTATCTATTTATTTATTTATTTATTTATTTTTAAATGTGACAAAAACTTTGGCTTTATAGACAGCTGCAAAGGTTTTATGGCATGGTACTGTGTAAAAGTAGGATACGCCTACTTGGGACACGTATTTCAGGTGATAGGTGAGGAATCAAGGTCCCTGCGCAGTCAACTGAGTAAAGCTGGTGCTTCCAGAAGGTACCTATGCTGAGCTGCAGATAATGCTTAACTGATCTGTATTGTCCATCAGATAATGTCCTGTGCTGTTTCCTGGACAGAATGTGGGCAAAGCCCAGACTCATGATCTTGCATGTGGTCACCTCCAAGAGAGCAGAGAAATTCTCAGCTCAGTTAAGGAGACAATCTCATGTGCTTGTGGTTGCTTGAATGAAAACATAACAAGTATTTGGCTCCAGATTCGAAATGGATCAGATTTAGGGTTCCAGAATATTATCTTGTTTGTTTACATTTTGGAAGGACACCATAAAATGTGGCTTAGAATGTGTATTTCTGAGAGATGTCAAGTTAGGTACTGCAAAGCTCAATTAAACCAGCTGTCTACTTGTGTCACAAAAGTTTCATGCCACTTTTACATTTCAAGCATATTTAAAGTTCAGTAACCAAAAACAAAGGAAAAAATGCACATGTAGAATAAATGATCCATGAGAATCTCCGAGTACGTAAACATTAAATGTGAAATTAACGTGGAGGTCATGCACAAATAATCCAGACTGCATGCAATTTCAAATAAAGCAAATATGAAAGAAAGCCAGCGTTAAAAGTAATGGGTATGAAGGATCAAAGTAATCTGTGGATGAAAAGAGGACTGACATGCACATTATATCACATTCATGACCTAAAGGATGTAATTAAATTAAAATGTGTTTTCCGTGACCATTTCTTTTATTTTTCCAAAGAAAAGAATGCAGCATGTTAACATTTCCGAAGTTGTGAAAATGTTGTTTGACACGCTTCATCTGAGCTTTATATACTAATACTACAGGCTTTGCACTTAAAAAGGAAAAAAAAAAAACATAAACACAGTAGCACCTCAGAAAACAAAGTGGTCTTAAAGTGAAAATCATTACCAAATGACATTTCAGTTTGGAATTAAAGAGAATGTTATCAAAGGGACATATAAATATGCCGTTTCACAGAGATTTTATGATAAATAACCACTTTTAAATATTCTCACTCCATTTTTTTCCCCAACAGTAGCAAAAGCCTCAGAAAGTACATTTGCATCGGAAGAACATATATTGTTGTTCAAGCTTATGCAAGATCTAGCAGAATATTCCAAATTAAACAGACATCCCATAGAATTCTATAAACATTTTTTCCTTGTGCAGTTGGGTTGCCTTTTAAATAAGATATTGTTCCACTTCTATTTGGCAATCAAAACCTGGTAACTGATAGCAAGTGACTTACATCCAAAACTGCTGATAGCTCACACTGGTAAAATCTCTTATTTCTAAAATAAAACTGACTCTTCGTTTATTAATATCCATAAGCAAACAAGCTTATGTACATGTAAATATTTCTATAGATTAATCAGCGTGTATACTCATGTTAATTACCACATATACTACCACAGAATAGCCATATTAAAATATGATAATAGACTAAACTGAGTCTGGTACAGCAAACTTATTGAAATAATTCATCTTCAGTTTTAACTGAATGGGCTTACTGAACACTTATTCTACTGTACATTAAGTGCATGTTTTTCACAAGAAAGCAAAACAAGGAGTCTTAGTTTTCTTTTTGCATACAATATAAATGTGATTGAATTCAGGCTGATTGCCTCCACCTCAAGGATATGAAATCCTACAGACATCCATCAGAATGTCCTTGCAGAGTCCATGTAAAGAATAAAGATAGGGGGTGTTGGTGGAGAAGTGGGAGACATATGGAATAAAACTGTGTTTTTTCTCAGACACACTCTTTTAGATATAGATTTTGGTTTGTTGTTGGAGGAATAGAGATCAGCACCATCATCCACCACTTGCATCACACGGATGCGTATTTTCTTTTTAAGACACATGTGAAGAATGGCGCTAGGGTTAAACAACAATAATCAAATGTATGATTTTCAGAGGTTTTATTTCTATGAAATAGAAATGGAATCTTTGAGTTAAATGTTCTGAAGCCAGTTTTCATCAGGGTCCCCTTACACTGCTGATGTACAAGATAAATGAGAGAGGTATTTGTCTACATCTCTCAGCCTGATATAGAAGTTGAGCACAAGTGGATCTGAAATTGCGATATGAAGCTCAGGCTTGATCCAACAACATTTACGCAGGCAGATTTTCTGAATGTCACTGAAAGTGCCTGAAAATGAATTCCTGTGCAAACTGCAATTTCTTTGCATGAATATTGTAACATCATTCTGTAGCGGCAAATAATTGGGGTATTTCAGTTGCAGTGAAAACCTGTACAGTAGACAGCTCTTATACTTCACTGCCATCAGTTCACACAGCCCACCCATAACCCAGGAACTGGCGTTAGTACGTACTTTATATAGGCAATAAAAAAAAAGCAGATGACATTTTCAAGTGCTGTTTGACAACTGAACAGGGAGGTCATTGTTCACAGCACTTGAACTGTGATGAAAAAAGTCTTTTTACAGAAAAAAAAGGAAGGGGAGAGAAGCTTTCACCAACATCGTAGCTTACATTCTTATTTTGACACTACTTAAGGCACAAGGCTATACACTGAAAAATATGCAATCTGCACTCTTCCTTGGCCAAATGCCCCACAATGCCATTTATATATGTCTGATTTACATTCACAACTATCTCTGGTTATGACAGACATCAAGACACTGGGTGTTTCTTGTTCTTAAGAACTCCATTTGGTACTTTTTTTTTTCTTTTGTCAACAACATTTTTGTATTCTAAATGCTTTTCTCTAAGGCCAGCAGCCATACAAATATTACTCATCAGATAGTATTGTGTTTAAAAAGGAAAATTTCACGTAAAATGGAACAATCCAATTTCAGAATTTGCTTTATAGTGGTAAACATCACAAAGAATAGTGCATCTGTAACACGATGAGTGTAGCACACTGCAATAGTCAACCATTCTGTTATTTGAGCTCTTTCTAGATATTTTTCAGAGCGTAGCTGATCCAGCCCACACTGTGTTCGTGCAGATATGTTTTTGATAAAGATTGTCCTCTTTGTGCTTTGTAGAATGGTATAATATGTTGGAAAAAGATTGCTTTTAATGCTCTAAAAAGCTGTTCTGTAGTCTAAAAGTCATTGGAATATATTGGGAAGCCTTTATTTCGCTATTTCATTCAACCAGTGCTAATCCCCACTCATGAGCTGCAAACAAGTTTTAGGAGATCATCTGAAGAATGCCTGTTCTGGAGCACTGGCTGTAAAATTCTTGTATACAGAGTGCAGACAAGAATGTTCATTCATCTTACTGCTTCTCATCTGCTTTTTTTTTTCTTTTTAAATATTATTTTATAACTCTTATTTCCTCAATATCAGTTTTTGGCCTAGCTGAAATGAACAGCTCTCATTTATACAGCATTCTACAAAAACCTTCATGATCTATCACTGACTACAGTCCTTTTCTCTATGTGTTTGAAGCACACTTTTCATGTTAGGGACATTTCTTTTCTTTGTTTGAACAGCACTGGCTCTAATGAAGTTTAGGGCACTGAAGCACCTGCTGTACCTATATAAACTGGTATCTCACTAAATACACTGATACCAGAAGGAAAAGTTTGTGACTGAAGCAGATATTCGGTGCCATTTCTCCTTTCAAATACACAATATCACCTCTCTGTTTTTACGGTCAGCTTTTTTTTTCATAGCAAACTAAAGTTCATGATGGGTATAAGGTCTCCAGAACAAATTTCTTGTGTTTGCTTTCTGTGGAAAGTGAGACATTTCTGGACTCACGCACACAGAAAACTATTAATGACATCTGTACAGACAAGCAGAAAGATAAGCTAAGAAGGTATTAGTGGCAACCATAAGCCTGGATGTATGGTTTTCACAGAGGATATTCCTTAAGACATCAATCGGTCTGACCATGCAGCTATATGTTGGCAAGAAACCAATGTCAACTTCTCCGTGCCTATCACTTGCAGGGAGAAGGATGTCCCTATTCTGTTAAACTCAACTATAAATTTTCTTAGACTTTGCAAGTGACTGCAAATAAAAATGCGTGGCATAAAGTCATGTTTTCACCATGATCTGTTTTGATAATCAAATCAAATCAGGTCTGGATGCCTTTTTTGTAGAGGTGTTCAAGGCCAGGTTGAATGGG